GGCAGTCCACTCACCTCAGCCTCCCAAAGGCGCGGGATGACAGGCTGAGCCATGGAGCCCAGCTCTGTTTTTCAGTATTTTTTAAAATGTTTAAACAATGAACATCGTTTCTGAGGAATTTAGTTGTGTAACGCAATGAGAATAAAGGGGAAAAAAGAGGCTTTACAGATTATACTTCATCATTTCTTCAGCCATTCTTAGCACCAGAACATTGGACTTTTTTTGGACAGAGAAAACTATACGGCATTTTTTCATTCACTGTATGGAAAGACCAGAGAAAATAACGTACTCTGGCAAATGGCATAACGGAACCGTGCGTCCCAGGATCTTAAGCCAGATCCCCTGACGTTTTCCACTGGGTCACTTTGTTTTGCACATTTGCGTGGTGGTAGTGGTGGTTATTTGTAGAGTAGGTCAAAGGGCTTTCTGCTTCTTGCCTTCCTCAGGGGTGCTGGAGTGATCTGGTGGGAAGACGGTCTTCCTTGCTGATGTGCATTCTGCTCAGTGCTGTGGGATATCTCCTCCTCGGAGCAGCCACCAATGTGTTCCTGTTTGTCCTAGCTAGAGTCCCTGCAGGTGAGATCTGGCCCCTGTCTGTACTGAGTTTGTGTGTCTCTTTACTCAAAATAAATCTCTATGTAAAGCCTGTCCCTGCTGGACATTGTCTCTTTGATGCGCACTTACATAAAGAGAGTATAATGTTAATAGCATTTATAACTATTACTGTAACACCATCAACTGCTCTCTTTTGAGCACTTAGCATCAGCTAGGTGCTCTGCTAACTTGACCAAAGCTGCAACCCTTAACAGCTTCTTGATGGAGCCCCTCAGAGCCTATGAGTGTGGACCACCATGCTGCTATATCAGGACTTGACTCCTTTCTGTTGATCTTGGTCTACATTCAGTCAGTAAGCATTGGATAAATGTGACAAGCACTGTGAATACTATTCCCTCCCCTGGTGATCCTGTAGTTTTGTAATCGGGCTTCTTGATGTCAGATTAACCTCTGTAGCTTTCCTGTAGCCGTCTTAAATCTGACTGCTGATTAGGGAGACACTAGGATTATGATAGAGCAGCTTGTGGGCTAGCTTTCTGTTTCCAGACTAGTCTTCTAACATTTTTGAAATGGCTTTCATTTTGTCCATTCTTTGAAACACCACCTGTGAATGCCAGGTGGTGTTTGGTGGGCAGATAGTTCCTGTAGAAGCTCCTTATTCTCTCTTTGCCATTCTGAGTGATTGGAGAAGTTTTGGTGTTTCTTTCTCACCTCATGCATTAGCGCACCAGCGGACTTTACTACCCTGGCCGACGTGTCTGCTGCACTGGGTGTCTGCCCATGCTCAGTTAAGCTGCCAATTTTTAACCGACTCCCCAAATGAAAAGACCATAAAATGCATCATTTTAACAGAGAGTTGATGATAATTCATTTCAGATTTCTGCACCTTTCTGTGGCATGCTGTGTACTCTGAAATTCTCTTGAGTTCACCTTCCAAAATTCATAATGTGCCTTTTTGTGGACTGGAACAAAAGCTTTTTGAAGATTTTGGCTTTAATGTGGTCAGTTATCCTAACAAACCTTACCACCACCTCACAAAATCCAATTGATAGCTGTTGCATGTGCATCTGGTGTCATATTTCTTGTTCTTATTTTGGTTGGCAGTGTGTCTTTCTACAACATAATACGCTCCTCCATTCAGTGGTAAGAGCTGTTCATAATTTGATGAATAAGGACCTAGGTTTGTTGCAAAATGGGTAGACATGTATGGGCAGGATTCGAATATTTTTATTAACCCTTTGCACTCTGAGACATCTCATGGGTCACCTACCAGCAACTCGACCACACTTTTTTATGAAAGTGAAAAACAAACCTGACATCGATAACAATTCAGAAATAATCACAGAATTTCTGTGCAGCCTCTAGGGAATCAATCATCTTCTGGCCCAGTCCTTCCTGACACTTAAGGAAACAGGTCTAGAGAGTCCATCTACCTAATTCCAAAAGGGATTTATGAGCTTGCTTCCCAAAGAGGTTGGTTATCAGACAAACCTAATTTTGAGGCAGAGCCAGGAGAGGACTAAAAGAACTAGTGTGTTGAAGCACACGGTGGCACGGTGAGTGCAGAGTAAGGCAGCCTGCAGGGAACATTGAACACCGTTGTGTCACATCACAGCTGAGTGACTCTGGCAGGTCCACCATCAGCATTCATGGTGTTGATCAAAACAGTGAGCAGCGCGTCACCAGGATCCTCCAGCGTGTTTGCGAGTGTATTTGTTCTGCACGTGGGTATCTGCCTGTATAGGAGTCAGATATATACACAGAAGTATAGGGAGTATAAAGTTGTTATTCACTTTAATCTTTTATTAGAAGTTAGGTCACAGCATTCCATTTGTTTGGTCAACAAATTCACAAGCCTCTTGCTGGTAGAAGTAGGTGTTGGTTTGATGACCATGCCATCGAGGTTTCGGCTTATTCTTCATCCTCTTCCCGGCTCTATTTCTCTTCGTAGCCCTTATCACCTTCTATTTTATACTCCTTATCCTCTCCCCCATAAAAATGCAGGCTGTGTCTTTGCTTTTGCTTTTTTGGCCTCTGCTCCTAGGTCAGTGCTGGCCATACAGTGGGCATGCTGTAAATATTGATTCAGCAAGTGAGGAAAGAAAGAATTATAACTCTCTAGATGGACCAACTGTGAATGGCAGTTGTGTAACAGAGAATACTGGAAACACTGGGACATTATGCCAGGAGGCGGGCAAGCAAGGGCTTAGGGATTTGCTTAGAGAAGGTGATGACTGACTGGGATTGTGGCACTAGACAGGCGTCGCAATGTGGGGGGCGAAACCTGCCGGCCTTAGAGGTTCAAAGAAAACGGAGAACAGAGCTCCATCAGGGATAGAGATTAAGTCCAGGATCACCATGAGATGCTTTTGGTCTGGAAAAGTTACAGAGCATGTTTCTTGTTCGCTTGCAGGTATTTTTAAACACACCCTCTCCATCTCCAGGGCTCTGCTGTCTGATCTGGTTTCAGAAAAGGAACGACCACTTGTGATTGGACAGTTCAACACAGCGTCCGGCGTGGGCTTCATCTTGGGCCCTGTGGTGGGTGGCTATCTCACTGAGTTCGATGGTGGATTTTATCTTGCAGCCTTCATCTGTTTTTCTGTCTTCCTCCTCAATGCTGGTGAGTTGACATTTAATCATAAGAAGGTTGTTTTTTGTACTCATATTGACTAATCTACATACTTTTATCTCCTTAAAATTTGTTTTTTCTCAGAATAGGCAGACTCATGGTCCAAAAATGAAAGTCATTTTAAGGAACCTTTCTACTGTTCTTCATAGTGGTTGTACCAATTGACATTCCCACCAGCAGTGTCTAAGTGTCCTCTTTTCTCCACAGCCTGGTCAACACTTGTTCTCTTGTTCTCTCTCTCTCTCTTTCTCTCTCTCTCTCTCTCTCTCTCTGTGTGTGTGTGTGTGTGTGTGTGTGTGTGTGTGTGTTTGTGTGTGTGTGTGTGCTTATATGTGTATGTATGCCATGCTAGTAAGTGGGAGGTGATTTCTCATTGTGGTTTTGATTTGCACTTCCCTGCTTAGTGATGCTGAGTATCCTTTCATACACCTGTTGGTCGCTTTTTGGAGAAATGTCTATTTAGACATTTGCTCATTTAAAAAATTAGGTTATTGGTCTTTATGCTATTAGGTTGTAGGAGTACCTTATATATTTTAGATGTTAACCCTTTATCAGATATATGATTTGCAAATCATACTTATTCTGTGGGTTACTTTTCACTTTACTGATTTGTTTCCTTTGCTGTGCAAAAGCATTTTAGTCTTGATAGAATCATATTTTTCTTTTGTTGCCTGTGCTTTCGGTGTCATTTCTAGGAAATCCTTGCCAGCGTCAATTTCTAGAAGCTTCTTCCCTCTGTTTTCTCCTAGGATTTTTTTATAATTTCAGATCTTATGTTTGTTTTTCATCCATTTTGAGTTGCTTTTTGTGTATTGTAAGGTAAGGGTCTGATTTTATTATTTTGCATAATACATATTCTCTTAGTTACAAGTTAAATGGAAAACCTGCTTTTATTTTTAACATACTTATCATAAATTTAAATAAAATAAGAGAAGTTAAACACAAGTCAGATTAGGCCATCCGCTGCTGCAAACCCCTCAGTGGCTCCCCATCGCGATAAGGCACAGGCCTCACGCATGTGTGGGGGCGCTTGGTGGGTGGTGGGTGCTGGGCTGGCCGGACCCCACCCCTCTGCCTCCCTTGCGGCCCTCTGGCCACACTGGCATCCTGGCTGACCGCCGGCGTGCTGGCCTCCTTCCCGCAGGAGGGCTCAGTACCCGCTCTTGGTTTCACCCACCACTTTCTTGCCACGTCTTGCCTGTTTCTCTTCTCATCCAGCAGGATTTAAATATCTGCTTCTTAGGCCTTCCCCGATCATTCTGCCTAAAATAACTCAATTTTCTTCATAGCACTTCTGGAATTATTAACGTGTTTTCTCGCTTGCATTCTATTTGTCCCCTCTACCCCCTGCCTCCCCCCAACACACACACAGTGAGAAGACTCCATGGGGCAGAGGTTTTCTGAGATTGACTCAGTGCTGTCACTCCTGTGCAGAACAGGCTAGGCATACAGCAGTTGTTCAGTATTTGATGAATAAATGGATACATCCTGGACTGTGAGTTCCTTGGATGCGGGGCCAACTGCTTAAAATATCTTTCATTCTCTTCGCCCAGGTTCTGGTACACAGCTGGCTCTTGGATAAATGACTTCATAAACAAGAGAATTCATGTTATTCAGTTTCCCTTATGATTAATGATATTCTACATAAGCTTTACTCTGACTTTTAAAATCTTCATATTTAGAGTTCTGTTTTGAGGGATGGGTTCTTTGCTGGGCTAGGATATTAGACTCTGGAGGCAAAGTTCATGAGTTTTATCTCAATCCTTTTAGGAATACTTACGTGATTTTCTGCCAGGCACTCAACCTGTAATCTCAGTCAGGAGGGGAGGCCTAATGTATTTTACATAAATCTAGATTAAAAAACAAACTAATGACCAGTTGGTGTGGCCAGGGACCTTTACCTAGAGAGAAAGATACATGTATGTGAGTTTACTCCTAGTGGAAAGTCAGCATATAAACAAAGAAAATAGTTACGGAGTTTCTATTTTGGACCCTCCAATGATAGTGCTGTTAAATATGCTGCCCTAAACTAGGCCCAGAATGGGTCTGAGGAATACATTCAGCTACAAGTGTTCCCAACTACTGTGGCTTAAAGGAATAAGAATTTATTTTTTCCACTTAAGAAATCTAGGGGTAAGGCAGGCCTGGGTGATGCAGAGGGGGGCAGAGGAGTGGAAGGATGACCCGGGCTGGACAGCAGACAGTGTCCACGGGGGCTCTGGCCAGTCGGTACAGTGAATACAGCCCATTGCTGTTTTCGCATCCTAACTTTGCCATCTTTCTTCCCAGTGACGATAGCTGTTTCCCTCAACCATGTGACTCTGTCAACTTCTTATATCCTTCTCTGATCTGCCACTTTGACTGGAAAAGCCTTTGCACGTCCTTTTGTCTAGGATTTCTGTTCTCACGGTTAACGACTCAAGACCCTGGAGTCAAAACCCTGCTTTGCCAGTTTTTAGTATGATTTCTAGGCAAGTTGCCTCCATTTTCCCATGTATAAAACGAGGTAACAAAACTCCTAGCCTTATTATAAGAACTATAAGAGGTTTTCCATACGAGCAGTTTGCCCCAGCGCCTTGCACATGTGGGAAGCACTCAATGGATAATAGCTGCTGTCATCATTATCATCTGTATTCGTTTCGTTCTCCTTTTGTTTTTGTCCATCGCAGCAATTCTTTCACGTTTTTATCAAGATTCTGTAAAATGCCCAAGGACCCCTTTAAAGATATGAATAGATGAAAAGTTCGGATCTCATTCTCATGTATTTGATTTTCTGCCATAAATCTGTCCATGGCTGAAACACGCTAGATTTGGAGAAACCCCTTACACAAGTAAAGTTGCTAAAAACAAGATGAAACAGCACTGAATCGCCGCTGGTCTGAGTGGAACCTTTACATGCTGAGGGATGAAATACCCAGTAGGGAAGAATTGGAAGGATATCCGAGAGTGGCAAATTTGAATTCACTTTTAAGAACATTTTTGGATTTAGACTGATGAGGTATTCCACCTGGATGACATGGGATAAGTAAAAGAATAGAGGCAAGAATGTGTCAGCCATGAGGGCAGAAGAAGGATTACCTGAATGTCAGTCAGAGCTAGTTTGAAGGTCATCTGTCATGGTCTGTGAGAATAGTGCCCTGACGTTTTGCAGGTGTAACCTAGGAAGGCACAAGGTGGCCCTGACTGGGGGAGGATCCAAGTTGGTGCTTTTAGGGACATTTTGACAAGCTGTCCCTGCCCATCCCCCAAGCCAAGGCTGGCTGTTGCTGTACATTGCAGCCTGTGTCTCCCCCAGGATGACCTTGACATTGTAGTCTGGTTGCCTCTTTGCTTTTCTGAACCTGCTTTTAGGTTTCAGTTCCTTGAGTACAGGGATTCCACAGACCTTGTCTTGCTTGTTCATGTATTCGTAGTATAATCACTTAAAAGCGGTCCATGAATATTGGATGTTCGGGCAGCTGAGTGAGTGGGTGAGTGGATTGGCAGAGAATGGATAGGTAGAGAATTGGAAATTTAATGAGGGGAGTAATTTAAATTTATAACAATTTAGATATGAAATAGGATATCATTTAGAAACAATTTAGATATCACATAGGATCTGGAGCTGGAGAGGAAGCAGTGAGTATTACAGGTATAGTTTTGGTATTCTTTTTTAAACATGAAGAGTCTTTTGCCGGAATTTCGATGTCAAATTGGAGCTGTGGGAATGGCAAAAAACTGAATTAAAAAATACAGACTAGTAAATCTAGTACAAAAGTAGAGATTAGTCATCTAATACAAGTCATTGCCTCTTTCCCTAAGAAGCAGCATATGACTTCGGTGCATCCAGCCTCCTTTAACAGCTCTCGTGCCGTTTTAATAGGTCTCGTTTGGCTTTTTCCGTGGAGTGAAGCAAAGCTCAGCAACACAAAGAGTTACCGGCCATCGCATAAGACCCAGGTGCTGTCGGGAAGGAGCCCCTGTGACATGCAAGAAGCAGCCACCACGCATGGAGCCACGGCGAGGGAGAAGGCTGTCCGGCTGCCCACGGTCCAAGTACTGTTGGCCTTGCGTGACATGAAGAGCCTGATATTTTCCGAAATGTGGGACATATTTCTGGTACGCCTGCTGATGGCCTTGGCGGTCATGCTGTACTACAGTAATTTTGTCTTGGCCCTGGAGGAGCGCTTTGGAGTGCGTCCCAAGGTGACAGGCTACCTCATCAGTTACAACAGCGCCCTGGGGGCTGTAGCCGGCTTTGCCTTAGGGCCCATCCTGCGAGCGTACAAGCACGACATGCAGACTCTGCTGCTGCATTCCAGCACCCTCACCTGCTCGCTGCTGCTACTCTACTCCGCGGCGCCCACCATGGGCATGGTGGTCTTCTCCTCTACTCTCCTGTCCTTCTCCACTGCCATTGGCAGGACGTGCATCACAGACCTCCAGCTGACTGTGGGCGGGGCGCAGGCCAGTGGCACCCTCATAGGCATGGGGCAGTCTGTGACGGCCGTGGGCCGCATTGTGGCCCCTCTGCTCTCAGGAGTTGCCCAGGAGGTCAGCCCTTGCGGGCCCCCCAGTCTGGGGGCTGCATTAGCCTTAGTGGCTGTTGTCATAATGTCTCGAAACAAACCTCGCTCTCATGGTGGCAGGAGTGATATATTAAAAAGTGAGTAGAATGGATCTGAACAACACACAGAAACAAAATTTAAGGTGGTTGAAGCAGGAACGGAGACCAGAATGAGAAGGGTCTTTGGAAAGGGTCTGTTGTGTAAGACAAACGTATTTCCAGGTGGGTATGCTCTGTTGGTGGCATCCAGGTCGGCTCTCAGCAGTGTGTGGGAAGGTTAAGATTGGAGGGAAGCTTTGCCAAAGGGGAGTGTATTCAGTGTGTACCTGGACGTCTCTTTTTCCTGCCTGGGCCAAGGTTAAAATTTTCAAGGGGAAAAAAAAGTTACCAGCTGCAGGGTAGGGAAATGGTGATGGGATAACAGAAGGTGCTAGTGGAAGAAAGGAAGAAACCACAAGCGTTTTCTTACTGCAAAAGAGGGTCACACATTAGTCAAATGCTGATCAGCTGGAACTTGAGTTTCAAGTTAAATTCCATATGCTAAGAGGGAGTTTTCTGCTATCAAAATCCTAGAGATTGAAGAAGCTGCTTTATCAAAACCAGCCTATCGCTTTCTGAAAGCTGGTTAAAAATCAGGTGCTGACCTCACTCCCAGAGACTGATTCAGGGGGCCTGGATAGGACCAAGAAACTATGGTGTTAGGAAGCACCACTGGCGATTTCTCATGGAGGCAGAAAAAGGATCATGCTGAGACATACTGATTTTGATTAAAGCAAAATCCAGAGACCTGGCTGTTTTTACATAGCTAACTAGATTCGGACTGTAAAATTGTGTCTGTGATCACAACGGGTTGCACTCTCCCTGCTGTCAGCATTGGTACTCTATCATAGGAGAAGTGGGTCTCTTGGCCCATTCCCTGCTTCTGAGAGAGCCAGCCTAGCTCAGAGGAAGACAAAATCCACTGGGATGTTGGGTGTACCTTTCTGCTCCTGGAGCCCTGGGATCCAGTCAGGTGGCCTGATCCTGGGGCTGACTACCCAGTGGTGAAGCTAAAGTACAGGAATACTTTTAGGACAGACATTTCATGCAGAGCAAGGGTCAGGCAGCGTGCTAGATCAGAGGAAAGGATTCTACAGTGTCTTGAATTAAGAATCATTTCCTTTATTTCATGTTAATTTTGAGCTTGAGAAGAGCAGAACTCTTGATCTACAGGAGGTGTTTTTGTGTGCCTTTTCCTAGGCCTTCGTGAAACTCCCATGTATATGGGCGAGAGGTCCAGTGTAGGGGATGACGTGGACTTGCAGGGGGGCAGGAACAAGGCACACTGTCTGTTGGGTTACGTCAGTATTCATAGATGTGATTTAGGGGTACCCTCTTTTCCTCACAAACTGCTGAAGCTCACATTCCTTTCAGTTAATTAGTCCACTAGCATGTTATGCCTATTTTTAATGTCACACATGTGTAATTGTAAATGATATTTTAATACACAGTAGTGATTTGTCTTCACTTTAATATTTATTGTTTGTAAAGCAGAAAACATATTTCCATGTCTTAGAAGTTGTTTGTGGGATAGACTACATATTTATGATGACTAAATGGAAGTTATGTTTTAGTTTGAAGATTGTCTCTTTTCCTATCTTGCTATAAGAAAAAAAGTGAACTTTTTATTAGGTTTTGCAATTGTCAACTTTTACATAAGCACTAAGTGCTTTTGAGGAGACTAAAATATTATATTAAATGGCCTCAAGGAGCAACTAAATGTCATGGAAATTAGACTCAAAAGGCAATAAATAAGGGTTTATGCAATGGAGTAGAATTTCAGAATTTCTCCAAAGGTGGTTCTTTCTTCACTCTCAGAAATGGGTGAGTTTCTTAAACGCTCTTAAATATGGCCATGTTTTTATTTTAAAAATCATAGCACTTTATTTTTTAATTTAAAAAAGCCTAGGAGCTTAATGAGGCTTTATCAGACACATTGAAATACTGAAAACCAAAGATGAATCTTAGAATATAGAGAAGCGTCTTTTGTTATTCTCCACTAGTAATTGTTGTTTTTTGTTAACATGATTTTTTTAGTAAATTATCTTTTTATGGTTCCTCTTACATAGGCCAGTGTCTTGCTATTCAAAGTGTGACCTAGAGACCAATGGCACCAGCGGCACCTGGGAGCTTGTTGGATGTGCAGACACTCAAGCCCTAGCCCAGACTCCCTGGGGACCATTCTAACACGATACCTACCTGGTCTGTTTTGCACAGTCAAGTATGAAACCTCTGGTCTCGTGGGTGGTGTTTGTATCATTTATGGAGGATAATCTCAGGGAAATTAAATCTGCTCAATTAACGTGTGTGTGTTTTTTTAATTATCTTAACTTCTGTAATCCTTTCCTGTGTCAGGTTGAGCCACATGAAATTGGCTATTTTTATGAGTCAAAATATCTTCATGTGGTTCGTCTTAATATTGCGTGAAATCTTATTTTAGAAGTATTGAGCTTTCCTGAAGCATTTATGAAGGAAACGGCACCCTTTCCAGGAGAACGTTATGCCATCCATAACTGCTATGGAACAGGTCTCAGGACTTGGGGTTCTGGAAGATGGCTTTTCCCATAGAGCAGAGGGAGCACCTCTGCTCTCATGCCCACAGGGATGAGGAAAACTCAGAAAGGGAACAGGCTGTACTTGGCCACGGGAGTCCTCTACCAGGCTCCAAACCAGGCTAGGTAAGCTCCTGAGGAGTGAAGTCTTTAAGTGTTACCCTGGAGCCCATGGAAGGGCTGGAATCATGGTCCTCTGCCCTGGCTGCATGCCTAAGCCCATAGGAACCAGACTGAAGCTCCCCTGGGTGTTTCTGTGCACACCTGGAGTTGAGAATCAGAGTTCAGTCAAGAAGGGACTCATCTTCGACTCATCTTCCATGCTAAGGGATTGAGATTGTATTGACAGATGGGGAGAACCTCTTAGAATAATTCCTAAGAGAAGGCTCTGGGGACATTTGGGTTTTGAAAAGATCCCTCTGGCTGCAGCAAGAATTAATTGGAGGACTAGGGAGCAGTCTGGACTTTGGGGCAGGAATCCAGATGGACCTTGAGTTAGAGGTGGTTGCAAGAAGGGGAGCAGCAGGTAGAAGTAGTAGCCCTGAGGGTGACTGTGGGAGGGGGTGTGAGTGACACCCAAGTGTCTGGTCTGGGCTGAACTGCAGGCCGAGTTAGTTGAGCCTGTGGTGAGTGTGGAATACTGAGGATGTTTTATTTTTTTTTTTTTTA